CCGCCCCAAGGGGTCTGCCCCGAGCCCCTTTCACAGGGCCGGGGCTCCCACCCCGTCAGGAGCATCCTCCTGGGTGCAGGCATCACCCAAAACTCACCTGGGACTGAGGGGGCAAGGGGATGATCCCCGATTTCCACAGCGAGGGCACGGGAGGCTATGGGAAGGGTGCAGGCAGTGGCCGGTTCTCCCGGTTTTGCCTGCCCACGTAACCCCACCCGGGGCGGGCAGTGACTCATGCCCCGCTTTTGGCACGGCCGAGGGGTGCAAAGGGCGTTTGGGCGAGATGGTTTGCCACCAATTGGTCCCAAACTGGTTCCAGTTTGCTGCTCGTCCCTGTGAAGCAGGACCTGATGTTTTAGAGGCAGCAGAGAGGTCCTGGGTGGGGGGATTGTGGACATTTCAGCTGCACCTTTGTGCTGGTGTCATGGGTACGAGGTGGCTCTTGGCCACCCCAAGAGGCTTTTGGGCTGCTGGGTGACCCCTGTGCACTCTCTGCTGCGAATGGGGGGACTGAGGGGTGCTGCAAAGGGTGGTGGGGGCCACATCAGGCAGGGGCAGCTGTACCCTGTCACCAGCACCAGCAACAACAGCTCACACTCCCAATGGAGATCTCCAAGGCCAAATCCAAGACCTGTAGCTGAAGCAAAACCCCAACGCCCCAGAATTGGTGTCTGAGCTCCCTGGGTGGGGAATAGCAGGCAAGGGGGTCCCTACCTGCTCTTGACACCCCCAGAGCCCCCTGCCTCTCTTCTCCAGGTTTCCGGGATGTCCATCTCCGAGCTCTCCTCGGCTTTGGACTTGTTGTGGTCTTCCTCAGCCGTTATGGCCCGGGGAGAGCGGCCATCAGCATCCTCATCACGGCCTTTGCCATCCAATGGGCTGTCCTGGTCCAGGGCTTTGTCTATTCCTTCCTGAACGGCAAAATCTACGTGGGAGCGCAGAGGTGAGGCCAGAGCTGGTGTCAGTCCCAGCTCCAGCCCTGGCCCGATGGCTCCCTCCTCTGTAAAACCCAGGGCTCTGCTGCAGAGAAGGGTTGTGAGGATCCACAGGAGCAGGTTTTTAGGCTGAGTATCGCAGTAGTAAGGGCTGTGTAAGTCCCACCAACAGCACAGCCAAGGTGTTTAGCGGGGGACATCAGCCCAGCGGTTCCCTTGTCACCAACGAGGCTCAGGCTTGCAGGAGCGGTGGGACACAGGCTCAGCTCCCATCCCCCCAAAAACTGCTTGTTCCCCCCAGCCCCACACCTCCCTTCTCCTTCCCAGCATCATCAGCGCCGACTTCTGCACTGCAGCCGTCCTCATCGCCACCGGTGCCGTTCAGGGTAGGATGAACCCCATCCAGCTGCTGCTGCTGGCCCTGCTGGGGGTCCCTCTCTTCACTCTCAATGAATACATCCTGCTCAGCATCATGGGGGTGAGTCAGGGGTCCATAGGTCTGTGTTTAGGTTCCTCAAGCCCTGCTTTAGCTGTAGAAACAAATCCCTCACCCCTTCTTTCCCATCTGGTGTTTTCTGCACTCACCAGGTAAGTGACAGTGGAGGCTCCTTGACCGTCCACACCTTCGGGGCGTATTTCGGCTTAGCAGTTTCACGGATCTTGCACCAGCCCCGTGTGGATGAGGAGAAAACACAACAGGACACGGGACACCAGTCCGATGCCTTTGCTGTGGTTGGTATGGAGCCTTGTACAGCACTGGGGTGATAGATGCAGTGGTGGAGGGACCATCACCAATGGACAGCGATGGGGTCCTCCCCATCCCCAGGGACCTGTCCTGGTCCCTCTTTTCCAGCAAAAAGCTCTTCCCTGTGCCCAACCTGAACCCCTTTCTCGCAGGAACCATCTACTTGTGGGTCTTCTGGCCCAGCTTCACCTCAGCCACCACGGCCACTGACAACGCCGAGCCCTGGGCCATGCTCAACACCTACTTCTCGCTGGCAGCGAGCACCATGGCCACCGTTGTGCTCTCATCTGTGCTCTACGAGGAGGCCACGCTGCGGATGGTGGGTCCTTTCCTGGGACAACCTCAAGTTTGGGCACTGCCCATGTCCCATCCTGTGTGAATACACCCAGAGGCACAAGTAGATGCCCTTTCAGCTTTTTGGGGGTTGTCAAGACGCAGTTTGAGCCTTGATGAAGCCCAAATCTCCCCAGCTTCACGCTGATGTCCTCCACGGAGCCAATTCCCCCAACCGTGTCCTGCTCCACCAGGTTCAGCTCCAGGACGCTGCCCTGGCCAGCGCAGCTGTGATGGGGATGGCTGCAGAGATGCTGGTCGCCCCCTTCGGGGCCCTTGGTGCGGGGTTTCTGGCCGGTTTGATCTCCTCCCTTGGCTTCAGATTCCTTACGGTGAGCAGCCCCACGTCAGGGGACCCCCACTTTTCCAAACCCCAAACCACAGTATGGGCTCGAGCATCCCCCCTCCAAATCCCACTTTTCCCTACGCTCTCCCCAGCCCGTCCTGCGCTCCAGGCTGAAAACCCCAGACACATCGGGGGTCCACAACGTCCATGGGCTGCCGGGGATGCTGGGCGCTTTTTTGGGGACACTGCTGACAGTGCTGGCCACTGCAGACGCTTATGGTGGCAGGTGAGAAGAGCCAAAATCGGGGATGCCAGCGACTCCATACACTGGGGCCACTGCAACTCCCCAAACCAGGGATGCTCCACGTCACAGCACCCCTTTGTAGCACATCACCCACAGCTACAATTAGGGTGCCCCGTTTTGAGAACAAGATCCCCTCAAAATCCCATCCCTGCTCCCACTTGCAGGCTGGAGCTCGTCTTCCCGCTCGTGGCCCGGGGTGACCGGACGGCCACCGACCAGGCGCTGGTCCAGCTCTGCGCCCTGCCCCTCACCCTGCTGCTGGCCATCATCGGGGCCTGCCTCGTGGGTGAGTTTGGCCTCCGATGGGTGCAGGAATTTGGGGAAGAAAAACCCAGGAGCTGCTCCCAAAGCGGACCCAACTCCCCATGCGTTGGGGCGGTGCTCGGCCCTGCGCACTCAGCTCCCCAGGGTCTGGGGTTGTCCCAGGGTCGGGACCAGGGATGGGGACACCGCCGGGGCTGGGGACACCGCCGGGGCTGGGGACACCCGGTGCTGCCGCTAGATGTCAGGGGAAGCCCAGCGAGAGGAGCCCGGCGGCCCCGCTCTCCAACGCCCTCGCCCGGTTTTCCGTGTATTTTTGGCATCCTCAGGAGCGCTCCTGAACGTGAAAAGGCTGAGATGCCCTCCGGACACGCCATTCCTGGAAAGCGAAGGCTTCTGGGAGGTAAAAGCAGGGGTTTGGGGGTAAAAAAGGGGGTTTATGGGGCTCAGGATGCTGCCAATACCCTCCCTCCTCCTGCTGCAGCTCCGTTAAAGCTCCCAAATTTCTCCAAATCAGCCCATTTTTGCCCCTCTCCCTATCTCTGCATGGGCACAGGAGGCCGAGGAAGGACACGACCACGGGGCAAAAGGAAAGGAGCCGGGACGCAGCACCTTGGTCTGAAAACCTCGACCCTCCCTTACTGGTCCTGTACCACTGGACTCAACCCTCCATCAGCATCACCAGTGCCAGGCAGCCCGAATTTTGCAGCAGTCTGCTCCGGAGCCAGCCAGGCTTATCCTCGCATGGGAGCCAGCCCTGTCCTGGGGTTTTGGGAGCAGTGAGGTGCTCACAGCCCTTTGCAGGGTGAAGTGATGCTGCAGCGATGCAGGTGGGAGCGACCCAGCTCGCTCCAGGGACACCTCAGGGGGGTCCAGATTTGGCTCAGCCTCTTCCCCTCTCTGCTCTGTGCTTCATTTTCCCCATCTACCCCTCTCCAGCATGTGCAGGAGAAAGGAAGGCACCGAGGGGATATTTTCTTTGAGGGTGCTGTGTCAGGGAATGGGCACCCCGAGCTCCACAGAAAGCAGCCGAGATTTTTCTACGGACAATTTTGCAGACAATAATTAAAACGCGGAGATTTTCTTTCATAGCTTCAGGGTTTTGAAGCCAGGATTTTGCTCATACACGTCAAACCCTCTCTTTAACTTTCCCAGTTTCAGCCTCCCATGAAAGAAAAGTCACCGCATTTGCCAAATGCTTCGGTGCCATTTAATTTCCACCAAAATTGCAAGGAAACGGGGCAGGGGGTGCCGTTCTCGCTGCCGACGCGGGTGCTGGGGGTGGTTTCTGTGCAGAGACCCCAGCCCCGCTCAGTTCGGGGGGGGCAGGACACGTCCCACGTCCCCATGTCCCCATCACACGCGTGGCCGTGCCGCAAAAGATGGAGAAGCACCACAAGGGGGTGCCAGGCTCCAAAGCGGGGGTGCAGGGCTCGCCCCCAGCCCCATGCCCACCTCAGCTCCTTCCCAGCCCTCTCCTCCCCTTTCCCAGGCAGCCCCTTGCCCCTTCCCGGTGTCCTCGCCGCACGTTTCAAAAGCGACCCACGGCGACGGGAAGAAAAGCCCCTCCAGTGAGATCATTGCGAGACCCCCAGACGCAGGGGTCGGGTGTGAAACGGACCCTCCTCCTCCTCCTCCTTCTCCTCATCCTCCTCTCGCCCCCCCGGCCCCTCTGAAAGCCTGTTATGTTTGGTAATCGGATTAGGGGAGCCCTCCCCGCTCCCGTTGACCGGCGCGGTGCCGCTCTCCCTGTTTAAGCGAGCCGGGAGCGGGTGCAGCGCTCGGCCGTGCGGGGAAACGGGACCGGGGAGAGCCTGAAAGGTTCAGTCAGCGAACAAATTGCTTCTCTGTAGGGGCCGTTTTCTGCCCAAGTTGAACATAATGATGGCAGTTTGGGGAACAGATGGTGCGGCTCAGCGGATAATCCCGACGGCCCCCGGGGGAAAAAAAAGTGCCGCGCTGACTCTGCCCGCAGCACCGGGGGCCCGGCCCGGGATGGGTGGGTCGTGGGTGATGACCGTGAGGGGTTTGGGTGAGCTCCACGCCTTCACATCGCTTCTGCTTCGAGGATGGGTCGGGTGCCAGGCACCCCTTGTGCCTCAGTTTCCCCAGCTCGCTGCTCTGTGACTTTGCAAAGCAAAGCTCGCCCTCGGATCACAGCCTGATACAGGGAGATGTGTGGTGAGATAACGCTGCTTTCCCTGCGCAGGGGCAAAGGACAGGCAGAAAAAAGCTCATTTAACCCTAATTTTTGCCTCTCTCCTCAATAATACTTGAGAGGTGGAAAGAAAGAAGAAAATCTGCCAGCTCGCAGGAGCTGGGTGCATGGGGTGCGTGTGTCAGGCGCGGGGATGCTGGGACCCAGCGAAACAAGGCTTTATTTAACAGAAAACAGCAGAAAACCAGCAAAACCTGAGCCCCCCCCCTGCACTGCCAGCCCTGTCCCCTGAGAGCCCCCCCTCCCACAGCCCCCTCACCCTCCCCAGCTGCCTCGGGCCTTGCCTAAATCACCTCTCGCTAAGGCGGGAGCTCCGTCAGCTGCTCCAGGGGGGCTTTGAGGGGGGGAAAGCAATAACAACCCCTCCCCGTTCCAGCTGGGGAAACTAAGGCACACAAAGAGTCCATTGGAATTAGAGGCAGGACAAAGCCCGTACGTGTCCTTACACATCCACAGCCCCCACCGCTTCCCCCCCTTTAAGGACCAGCTGATGCCGTGTGCCGCTTGATAGAAAGCCAGCTAATCATCTTTCCCAACTTCGTTAAGAGCGTGAATCCCAGCGACACCTGTAAAGCTCCTCGGCAGACGAGGCGGGTGCGCGCCGTTAATAATGGGCACCATATGGGAGAGGAGAGGATGGGGAGAGGAGCAGGGGCCCGAGCGTCCCCGCACCGAACAAAGAGCAGTGCCCGCGTTGGGCCGCTCAAAAGACCGGCAATGCCGTACCATGGTACGGGAAAAGCCATTGCTACGCTACTAAATATCCCAATAACTCCCCAAAAGCAGCCCCTGCCCTTCGGAAAAGGACCTGGCGAAAGCACACAGCAGCTTGAGAGGGTGGGTTAAAGGCAGGAGAGCCACCGAACCCCTGCCATGTACCCAAAACCAGGGACTGGGCACCCCAAATCCACCAGGGTGCATCCCACGGTGCCTCGGAGCATCCTCCCGCTGGCAGAGGCCACCCATGGGTGCAGGCAAAGCCTCCCATGGCCCCGGGTGATGGCGAGGACACGGCGCAGATTAGAGATGGGTCCCTGCGTTGGTGCTGGTCCAGAGTCCCCCACGCTCCCTTCCTGACCCCAAACTTGGGGGGCAGAGCTCAGCCCCTCTGCCAAGCCACCCCTTAACCATTGCAATTATGAAGCTCCGTTTTCAGGCCCCCCCATTCATCGCCAGCCCCGTAATGAGTCGCTGGGCATCATCGGTGGGGGCACAGCAATTAAAATCGCTGGCACGGCGGCCGCGTGGGTGGCTTCGTTGTTCGGTGCCCGTTTCGGGCTACGCCAGGAGCAGGCAGCGCCTCAAAGCGGGCGAACAATCGGCTCCTTCTTCACCGGCTTCAAGGCAGAAGAAAATAAGATAAAGAGGGAACAGAGGCCCCCGTAAAACCGGGAGTCAAGTTTATTTACAAACCGAATATGAAGTGAAGGGCCGGGAACAAAGGAGTTATGTAAGGGACAGTCACTGAGGGGCTCTTTACCCACATTAATTGCCACTCGCTCCGCGATACCATTTATCTGGCGGCTGAAACGGCCTCTTCGGGCTCGCAGGGTTCAAGCATCGCTTGTTTGCGGCGTTGCCCGGCGCAATTAGTGTGCGAGAGCAGCGACCGATGCGATCCCGCCACCCAAACCCACCATAAAGCACCCAGACTCCCCAAAAAGCAGGATTGCACCCAGAGGTGCACGGCTTGGGGAGGGAGGGATGCTGCCGTATGTGGTGTCATGGGGAGGGATGATGGGGCTCGGTTTTGGAAGGACATTGAGGGGCTGGAGAGTGGGCAGAGAAGGGCAACGGAGTTGGGGCAAGGTCTGGAGCAGCCAAATGAGCACCCAGGGAGCTGGGGGGTTCAACTGGAGAAGAGGAGCTGAGGGGAGACCTTGTCCCCTCTGCAGCTCCTGAAAGGAGGGGTTGGTCTCTTCTTCCAAAAAACAAGCGATGGGACGAGAGGAAATGGCCTCAAGTTGTGCCAAGGGAGGGTGAGGTTGGAATTTGGGAGGAATTTCTTCATGGAAAGGGTTCTCAGGGACTGGAAGGGGTTGCCCAGGGCAGTGTCGGAGTCCCCATCTTGGAAGGGCCCAAAAACTGCGTGGATGTGGCACCTGGGGCCATGGTTTAGTGGCCATGGTGGGGCTGGGTTGATGGTTGATGATCTTAGAGGGCTTTTCCAACCTGAAGGACTCTGTGACTCTGCAGGAGGATGAGGAGACCCCCAGGTCCCTGTCATTAACCTTGATGAAACCATCACGAGATGCTCATGAAAGGGGAACAGAGATGGGGAAGGATGAGGGAAGCTGGTGCCTGAGACATTTCCGAGCCTGGAAACTGCCCTCGGATGGGAGAGATGGAAGGGCAAAGACTTGAATTAGAAAATACTGGGGAGAAGAAGCCGCAGCGATCGCTGCTGTGCCCGGCAGCGCGTGGTCCTCCCGCTCTGGTCCTTACCCTCAGCACATCCAGGGATGCTGAGAGCACGGCGAGGCCACCAACTCCCCACACCAAAGCGATGGCGAGGGAGGAAGAGGAGGAGGCAGCACCGGCGGGAGCCGAGGTCAACTTTATTGACAAACCGGCTCGTGAATGAAGCACGGGGAACAAAGCGGGGCCTCGGCCCGGGTCAATGGGGGTTGTGTAAAGCGAGGGGCCGGCAGTGGCGGGCCC